TCAAGTCAGACTATTAAAGGTAACTTAAACTACCTGCCAGCCACTGGAGATTTTCTGGTTGAAAATACCAAACTCATAGCGGATGCCATAACCGTAGGCAGCCAGGCCAAGAGAAGCCATAGAGTCCAGGAAGCAAGCTAACAAACAAAAACAGAGCGAGACCAAGGGTGAGTGCATCTTTTCAGAAACAGATTTATCATGCCTTTGAAAAGTTCTATAGCTTTGAAATTTTCAAGAACAGGCTGTTCCAATATTTTCCAGACTTTCGAAAAATCCATACTGAAGATGATGGTTCCTCTTTCAAACCTGAAGTCAGATTACTAACCAGCAAGACGACCAAGGCCTCCATTTCCCAGTCCAGCATCTTCCTCCATCTCCTGCAGCTCCTCCATATCCAGACCCAGCTGAAGCACAATGTATGTAATGAATCAATGGTTTCAAACAATCACCTAAAGCATTACACTGGCTTCATTGTGTAGTCTTACCTGATACATGGCTTCATCACAAGCATTCTCCAGTGCCAGGTTCACCATAGTGTTCTGCAAGGTACGGCCCATGTAGAACTCCAGGGAGAGGTAGTAAACACGCTAATAGACACAAGAAGGATAATACAAAATATGTCTTTCTTTATTCATTATTTTTTAACATATGTGACACTGGACCACAAAACCAGTCTTAAGTCACTGGGGTATGTTTGTAGCAATAGCCAAAAATACATTGTATGGGTAAAAATGATTGATTTTTCTTTTATGCCAAAAATCATTAGGATATTAAGTAAGGATCATGTTCCATGAAGATATTTTGTAAATTTCCTATTGTAAATATATTAAAACTTAATGTTTGATTAGTAATATGCATTGCTAAGAACTTCATTTGGACAACTTTAAAGGCGATTTTCTCAATATTTTGATTTTTTTTGCACCCTCAGATTCCAGATTTTCAAATAGTTGTATCTCGGCCAAATATCGTCCTATCCTGGAAAATATCCTTTTCCATATATCAATGGAAAGCTTATTTATTCAGCTTTCAGTTGATGTATAAATTTCAATTCCGAAAAATTGACCCTTATGACTGGTTTTGTGGTCCAGGGTCACATATATTAAAAATACAGCAACATTGTTTACATAATGGTTATATACTTTGACATATTGATTTAGGGTTACCAAGTCGAGCTCTCCAAGGACCACCCTCAGCTGGGGAACTATTTTTAGACTTTATTTAAAAACTATTTTAATACTTCCTGGCAGAGGGATCATTTACACATGGCAATCTGATACCATCCCTGTTGTAGCCTTTGACATTTTAGGCCTTTCTTTGGTGTTGGGTATGAAAAGCAAGAGAGAGAAAGAGACAGTGGAGGTGAGAGTTGGCGTGTGGCGGCACGATGGGCTGAAACAGACTAGTCAGGGATAGGGGAAGGTCACTGGTGTTATGTAACACTGGCATTTTGAGTCCAGCAAAAATAACCAGCAGTGAGGTCGCCAGCAAAGGTTACAGAGTGTGTAATGTTATTCTGTAAAGCAGCTAATGAAGAAGGTCTGAGTGCAGACCAATGTGTCGTACAAGATGTTGAAAACAGTTTAAACTATGAAAAAGATGGCAGTGTCCAGGTAAACCACACACTTCTGCCCACACCAGCCATTTTATAGCATCCAAAAGCTTTGAACTCATGGAACCGGTTTCTCACATCACTTCTGCAGTCACATTTCATGAGCCCCATTGGAGCTTTTAATGATCAAGTCCAGGTTTATTGCTGATGTCCACCTACAGAAAAAGAAGCCGAATGGAACTCTCCGAAGAAGTCCAGGTCATTTTTGGTTATGATATTTCCTGTAAAAAGGTTTGTATAGTCTTATGTAACTCTGATTTATTATAAGGCTGAATTATAAGTTACTTCTTCCTCCCATATATGTTTCTACAGTGACCTTTCTTTTAGGGAGCAACTTTTGACCTTTATATCCTAGACACCTCCAGGGATTTCAGGCTGGACTGGAGAGGAAAAGGTCAGGGCTGCTGAGCTGTGGTTTCATCTCCCATCATCAGACTCAGATTTTGATGCCCTGAATACTGACGCATTCTTTTTATACGGTTTCTGCTGCTTGGTTGTTTTTATATTTATAAATATAACAAATGTCCCTCTAGTTACATTTCAATGAAATATGCTTTGAAATAGATCATAAAGTAGATGTTAATATGATAATATTGTCATTAGTTCCTTTGTTATTTAAAGAAGAAAAATCACCAGCATAATCATCAAAATTCAAGATGCTTTATGAATGCACATGACAGAGCGCAATAAACCGAAGATGCATTATTGTGCTAGTAATGTACAGCTCATGCTATTGATCATCTTAAATGCTAATTCATGTTCCCCAAGTTGAGATCTGTATGTTAATGCTAGTTGAAATCATTGCAAAAATTATATTAAGACTATCAAAGACGTGCAAAAGTTGACCCATAAGTGAATACTGATTTTTAAAAATACTTTGCATAGGGTGCTGATCCCAGTTTACCTTAAGAGTTCTCGGGTCACAAAAGGTCAACAATGCTGTGCTCAAGCAGGGAATCGCTTCTGCAACCGTCTTCGAGTGCACAAATGGCATGAAATGTTATTAGAGCTTCATTGACTCGTGTAGTTATTAATTGCATACAAAAAATGTATTCTGTTTTGGTGCAGTCGTCTCATGCATGGACTTGCTTTTATTTTGGTGCAACCTCAACATGCACGAACTTACTTTGGGGTCTTTCTCGTAATAACTCTGCTGTGTTCTGATCCATCTGCCTACTAAGTGGTCTCTGACTGTGTGCGCGAGCGCAAAGTAATAATCCCGTTTGGTGGATACGTTCCTGTCCTTCACCAGCGTGAAATGCAGATGGCGATTATAGTTTTTCTTTAGGTCTGCCACATTCTCCACACCGGCGAGCCCCTTCACAGAAATCTGCTTTTTCCTGTCGTGGTCTGACAGTGGTTTAGACATGGTGACAGCAGTCTCGTCTTGGGTTCAAGTAAGAGAGTAAACACCAGACCGCACGCGACAGCACCCATATAACACTGACAGCTCTCCTTATTTAAAGTTCACATCATGAATATTAATTAGTGGGCGGGGTTGGTGCAGCCATCCGCCAATTAAGTGTTCAGTAAGGTAACTACGCTTTATGAAAATGAGGATACCGGTGTTTTCTTTTTTACGCGATTGATAAATATGTACAGTAGAAGTGAAATTTAATTATGAATAAACGTATTTTAAGTTGTAAACTACAACTCCAATAATCCAGAAGTCTCTCGAGCCAGAGACATTAATAGCTGCAATGACCCAACTAAAAGGCCATGATATTTGAACGGCATCAACAGCTGTGCACCACACATGAATCCTCAATCTTGTTTAAATTAATATGCATTTCAATTATGAAATGCTTTGCAAACTTAATAGACAGTTTATTTAATAGAGAATTGCAGACCCAGATTCTAAGCTAACCCGTGGGACCAACAAATCACATTTTGTACACGTTAAAACACATTACACATTATTATATTATATAGGCTAATGCATATCAGGTCATTTAATATTCATTCATTTTACTAAAAATTTGCTTTTTTTTTTTTTTTTTTTTTTTTTTTTTTATAAAGAGAATGGTATATTTTTCTCTGCAGACCCCCTGCAGTACCTGAGTAAATCCTTTAAAGCAGAACGGATAAGATGTGCCATTTTTTTGTAAAGATTCATTAGCCCCCTGCACTGCAAAATAATTAAAAATCGTATCTGTTCTTATTAGATATCTTTGCCTTAGTTTCTGGATTTTTTTTTGTTTTAAACCAGATAAATCTATTAATTGAGACTTGAATCTTCGCTATACGTTAGCCAAGATCTGCTTTAATGGTCCAGATCTTACTTAATTTGTTATATTTACACTAAATATAATGTAAATGTACGCTTACATTCAAGATAAATATGAGACAGGACAACATAATATTGATAATAATAGGAAATTATTTAAAAAAAAAAGTTCAGTCTGGATATTTTTATACCCTAATCACAATCATATTTAAATTTGATTTCAAATTAAATAACACTAGTTTCTCTTTATTCCATCAAGTTCAGGATTTTAACTTTGTTGAAACATTCTTTCAAAATGTATTAAATGAAAGATGTTTTAATTATTTCCAATAAAACTGATTATTTGACAGTTCAGTTTTAATATCAATTCAAGCTTCTGTAATAGCCAGATAGCTGTAATAGTGAGAAATTAAAATGTGTGACACTATGTGGCCACTGAGGGGAGCCAACACAACTGTTCAATTTCACATTGATCACACCCTCAGCAGTGAGGATTGTGGACACTTTTGTGTCCATGCTTTATATACAGTTCTGTGATGCTCTGATTTACCATTAAAGTAAACAAAGTCACATGCAGAGTTATCATTAAATTAAGCAAAATTTCATTAGCTAGAATGTTTTAATCAATTATTAAATCATTTTCTATTATATATATATATATATATATATATATATATATAGATAGATAGATAGATAGATAGATAATATATACAGTATTTCTTGTTTCTTATTTATAAAATAAGTTACATTTACTTTAGAAGCAAAATTTCATAAGCTATGATAATTTGTTTTAAAATAACATATTTATACACGTGTGTGTGTGTGTGCGTGTGTGTGTGTGTGTGTGTGTGTGTATTTCTTGATAATATATTATATTTCTTGTTTCAAGCATAAAACTTATTAAAAAACAATTTGCGAGTGAGGAAACACTCTGCAACAGGAAGAAAAATAAATCAAAATATGTTCTCTGAAACATGACTTCGTATCTTATATAGTTTTGGTTCTCAGCTAAGTTTGTCTTTAGATATTTTTAGACATTTGGATATTTTTACTGGAACCAATACAAAAATTAATTAAGAATTTAGTTGTAGCTTCTTTTTTCTCACCCTTTGTCCTCCACCCCTTTTTGTTGTGAATGTGACAAAAAAGTCTCGAAACATTATGAACAGGAAATGCAACAGCTGTAAATTTCTCAACTGACAGGAAACTGAGTCTACAGGCAGCTGTACTCAGAGTGAACCCCAGTGAGGCCCTCTGTGGTTTTCAGTACATGGGTAGAGAGGCTCCACTGAAGCCCAGCGTTCATTAGCACTTCTGTTTTCAAAGATGATCACTGTTTGACCACTGATGCCGGATTCAACGGGTAAGTTCCTTTGAAAATCTTTCTAAGGCTTATTTTTTCTTCTACTGTTGTCTGAAAACAGTTCCTATGGATCTTTGATTTTTTTTCTTTTTCTTTTATGCACCTTGTTTTTCTCCGCATGAGTCTTGTCCACCGTATTATCCATGTGTGACCAGGATTTGTCTGCTTTTGATGAAAATGAAAAACCAGCGACACCTCTCACATCTGAACCATTCTCTGCTTTATTGATTCTGTTTCCTTTGCTGTGCATGGTGTTGTCTCGTTTTCAGACTGAAAAAGAGAGGGATCAAAGAGAGGAGTGGAAAATTAAGTGGGGGGGAGAAGGAGGGGCTGTGGAGAACAGTGAAGTAGAAAGGGATGGAGAGCGTTTCATCGGATCAGTCAGCCAGCGTGGATGAGCTGGTGGAAGCCTGCATCAAAGCCTTTGGTCAGTGGTCATATTTGCTTCCTCCTTCTCTTGTGTAAACCCTCTGATCAGCCAGTTGGAACAACACTGGCTTGTTCAACTGTGTGCATTTGTGTCTGTTTCTTGATATTCTTCAAACCTCTTCAGTGTTTCTCATGTTATTTTCTCTAGCTCAGGGGTCTTCAATTTTTTTCAAGCCAATTCGACGCCCTGGTGGATAGAGAAATGGAGCACTGTTACTATAAAATTTAGTATTTTAGGCCTGACTTATAATAGTGTGCGCTTAGTAAAAAATAAATGTGTTTTACATAATATGCTTTCATTGCAAAGCCATTAAAGGATTCATTATTAAATTTTACTTGATACATTTTAACGTGGGAAAGTCAAAGATATTTTTTAGCTGAACTTTAGCTTTGGACTCGTTGAAGCTAACTTAATGATTAATCGCGATTAATCGCATCCAAAATAAACGTTTTTGTTTACATAACATATGTGTGTACTGTATATTTATTATGTATATATAAAAACACACACATGCATGTATATATTTCAGAAAAATGTTATGTTTATATATCACCATCTTCAAGAATCATCTTCTAAAAACACATCTCTTCCATCTTTATTTGACCCTCTAACTCTAGCACTCTATTCTAATTCTATTCTTTAAAAAAAAAACGTGTCCCTTTTAGACTTGCAGTCTATTAATTTACTAACTGCTTGTTTTCTTAAAAAAAACACTAGCTTTTCTAATCTTTTTGTATTCTATTTGTTTTCTTTTTATTTATTATACAATTAACAAAAGCAAAAAAAGCCTCTAACACTAGCTTGCTCTATTCTTTTTCTATTCAAAAAAAACTTGCTACGTGTACTTCATTAAGCTAACTGAGAACTTGTTATAGCACTTGCATATCATTGCTCTTTTGTTGAGTCATTACTTACTCATTGGATAAAAGCATCTGCTAAATGACTAAATATAAATGTAAATGTATTAAATATATTTATATATAATATAAATTATATAGATATAAATATATACATGTAAATATATTCAAAATATATACTGTATATGTGTGTGTATTTATATATACATAATAAATATACACAGTACACATACATATATTACATAAACAAAAACTTTTATTTTGGATGCGATTAATCGCGATTAATCGTTTGACAGCAC